TTTTTTTTTTTTTTTTTACAGATTAGCTGAGTTCCCTTCCAAGTATCTACGCTGAGTGGCTCACAACACCCATATCTTAAGCTCCAGGACTAGTAATATCATCTTTTGGCCTTCTCACATAACTGCACTTATATGCATAAAGACAGACAGAAAGACACACACACACTCACGCATGAACATACTTACCAGGTTATAGTCTTACATGGATATATATAGATATATATATATATCTATATATCTATCTATATACATATATACCAGGTTATAGTGACATATAAATATATATGTGTGTAGCAATAATTAATAAGAGATTATGAAATTGAGAGTGGATAGCAGACACAGGAGGAGTTGTAGTGTGGAGAAGGAATGATGGAAATGAACATAAAATGCATATGGCACTATTTTAAAAATACATTGGAGCTAGTAGCTAACTCTTCTCTCTGACTTAAAGTAAACTTTATTGGTAGTCTTGGGAGGGTTGGAGTGAGAACAAAATATTCCACAGAAGTTACATATTTATTAGTTTTGTATGTGTGTTCATATATGAATGAAGAATGTACTTGAGCATGCACACACACATAAAGATAGACACCATGTCTCATATGCAGATGTTAGAACATCTTTCTGAAGTTGGCTCTCTCCTTCTACCTTTGCATTGGGTTCTGGAAACAGAAAGGAAGTGGTCACACTTATACAACAAACATTTTCCTACACTACACTGTAGGAACTCAGGCCCCAGTGGTAAAGAAAAGGCAAGCCCAGTTTCTCTCCCATAAAATTATTGTCCTCCAAGTATTTACTTTTTTGGTGAATTATCACATGTGAATCAGGCCAGACTAAATATGTGGGATAGAATTTTCTTCAATCATCCTTTTGTTTCTCTGAAAATGGATGGGTCAGTCTGTTCTCGCAAGAGTCCCATATAGTGTAGATGACAATGCTCTCCACTAATCTCCCACATTAAGTTATCTCTCCTAACGAAGTTCCTTTCAAACTTTTTAAAGAGAAAATGCTCTCTCCCTTCAAGATCTCATTGTCTTGTCTCTGTGATGATGCTCTATCTCTCCTACTTCTTACTCCACTTCAAGGTCCAATCATGTCCTTGCCCCATTGTTATGAGACACTCTCCAAAGAAAGCATATCTTATACTTTCATAGGCATATCCTTCTTTACGTTGGGAAAGTATTCTGTGATTTTGTTGAATATGTTTTCTGCTTCTTTGCCTTTTTCTATACCTATTATTTTTAGGTTTGGTCTTTTCATGTTGTCCAATATTTTCTGGATATTTTGTATTAAGGATTTGTTGGACTTAACATTGACTTTGGTCTATGAATCTATTTCCTCTTGTGTATCTTCAACACCTGAGAGTCTCTCTTCCATATCATGTACTCTGTTGGTTATGTCTGCCTTGAGAATCTAAGCAATAATGAGCAGGCTACCTTAAATGCCCTTCCTGATTTCCTTAAATGCTATCATAGAGCCTTCACCCAGTAGCTGATGAAAGCAGAAGTAGAGATTGAGAGATAAGCACTGAGCTGAACTCCTGGAATCCAGGTGTAGAGAGCGAGGAACACTGAGCAAAGGGGCCAAGAACATGCTGGGGAAACAGATCACCCGAGCAAGTGGTAGCTCATGCACTCCAGTCTGACAGCTGGGGAACCAGCATTGAACCAACTCAGACCCCCTGAACTTGGGTAACAGTTGGGGGACCTGAGTCATCTATAGGGCCTCTGGCAGTGGAACCAGTATTTATCCCTAGTGCACAAATGGGCTTTCGAACCCCATTCCCTATGGAAGGATACTCTCTCAGCCTGCATACATGGAGGAGGACCTACATTCTGCTCCAAATGAGGTGACAGATTTTGATAATTTCCTATGGAAGGCCTCACTCTCGCTGGAAACTGTATAGGTAGTGGGATAGGGGAATGGGGGAATGGGAAGAAAGGAGGGAGAGGGAACTGGGATTGGTATGTAATATAAGTTATTTTTAATTTTAATACAATTAATAACAGAAAGCTTATCCTGAGGATAGTTTCATATCAGCTCCTTTTCCAAACCAGCCATTCTGCCTGTTTATTTATAACATTCTCCTGCCTTGCAATTCTCTGCCATAAAAACTAGTCCATCATCCCTCAGTTTGTCTGGGGAAATCTGGCAATTTAAGCTCTTTTACTTTCCCCATCAGGCTTTTTAAAACATGGTTCTTCTTCCTGATTGCTCTGGTAATTTTGGATGTTTACTATTTTCACTTAATCTTTTAACTTGTGTATAAAATTTGTTCCACTCTATTAGTTTTCAACAGTTTATATTTGTCTGTATTGTCACGTATTTGACTGGGAGATATTTTGCTATAATTTTCATTACATTTTTATTCATAGTAGTATAAATATTTTTATAACAAAAATACTTAGTTTAAAATCATATAATGTAATGTGAGCCTTTGTGAAAGGATGTTTATTCCTAGTTCACTGATATTCAAAGCTGTCTTTGCTCTCTGCTTTGTGTACAAGTAATGAGAAAATGACATCTATTCTACAATGTCCACCATTCATAACTGTGAGAAGAATTTAATCTACTTGAATGTAAACTACATATATGATGGGAGATGTCATTCTGTATATGTTTCTCCTACTGGTTTAATAAATAAAGCACTGTTGGCCAATAGGAAAGGATGATAGGAGGGACTAGGAGACAAGAAGGAAATAGGAAGTAGGGAGGAAGAGTCAAGATGGAGGGTCTGGAGAGAGCAGTATGCAGCAGCTGGCTCCGGGTAAGAAGACCATGTGGGAATGCATAGATTAACACAAATGGGTTAATACTTAAGACAGAGCTAGCCGATAAGAAAGTAGTAACTGGCCAACAGTATAATATCTAATACAGAGTCTCTGTGTGTTATTTGGGGCTGGCGCGGCGGCAGGACAAGACCAGCGGTGGCGGGAGGAAAAAACCATACTCCTTACACATATATTATGCTCTTCTTTTATAAGAGCACCAATGGCGATGAATAAACTTTTGCAAATAGCTTATTTTTCTCAAATTTTAAAATTTGTAAGTCTTAATATTTCATATCTATTGTGTTTTCTATTCTGCAAGTTCTGAGATTCAGTTGACATAAAAATTGCTCTTACACACAATGGCACAGGTCTTTAGTTGACTATTAATATTCTTCAGATTAAAATGTAATTACATCATTTCGCCGTTCTTTATCCTCCCTTCAAGCCTCCAACCTACGTATCCTGTCTTGCTTTATCTCTCAAATTCATTTTTCCTTTTCAATAAATTGTTGATATAAATACAAATCGCTTAGCATGTACTATATTACTTGCTTAAATATGGTTTTACTGCAGACTCCTTTGTTTAGGACAATGAAACTGGCTCTATTTTTAACAATAATTAAATATTAGAACAAAATGAATCTTAAAGTTTTTTTTCTTGGCAACTTATTTTTGTGTCATCCAGATGGGTAAATTAGAGTGTGTTCAATGCATTACTACTAACACATAGTAGCAGATACAAACAAAGGCTTTCACTTATGTTGTAGATAAATATGGTTAGCATGTGCCTATGATACTGCATACAAATCTTAACTAATCCTGGCACACCATCTATGCTTCTCATGGCTATAGTGGATTCACGGCTATCCAAAGAATCACAGAAATAGCAGACTTTATGTCAACATGTCCTAATGACCCCAATTTTCAATTCTGAGAATCCACAATTGGGTGATTTCCACAAAAGTCACTCAATTTTCATAGATAATTGTGTGAATGAAGGAGGAGAAGGATATGATTTTGGTGAAAGAATAAAATTCAAAGAGAACATTCAAAGAACAGCATATTCAGCTTCTATGAATTAAGGCTCAAATATTACTGAGGTTTTAAGGATTCCTCAGCCACTAGAGCTTCTTTGCATTTTATCTTTTCACTTTTTAATTAAGATCCACAAAATGTAAAGAAAAATGTATGTGTAATTACCAACCCAACAAAATTGGATTGAAAGACTTCCAAAATATATTTAAAGAATTTAAAATTTTCATTTGCCAAGGTCCAAGGATATGATATTTATAAAATAACAAAGGGCGAAGAAAAGAATGAACACCATGTCCCCTGGACACCATAGCATTCGTAGGACTGTCCAAGTCAGAAAAAGAATGTGAGCTTGTTGATACTTGAATACCCATAGAATATTAGCTGCAGGAACAAAAACTTCCTCACATATAAATTGTGAATCGACAGAGCGTTACCTGTGAGAAACAAAGACCCCTTTTGCAGGTTTTCCCAGGCAGCTATTCCCTAGCATACTGGTCAAACAAGACACATGACATACTGAGAACATGTTTATGTAGTTTAACCTGCTTATGTAATTTAATCTTGAAATCCATGTCTTACATGAAATCTCTTGCTACCATCACATGTATCTGAGAAATACAGCAAAGCTGTGGGCAGAACTCCAGGTAAGATGGAAACAAGAGAGTCTCTCAAGTGATAGCTGGCTGATTTGTAAAGGGAGCAAAAGGGTCCCTTCCAGAAGTAACTGGATGACTGGATCTATAATCGCCTAACATGTGTCCACATGTCCCAGATTTCACTCACTTCTGATCAGAAGAAGAAACAGCAAACAGTAATTGCATGCTAAATGTTTTATTTGTGTGTTGAAGGTACACTTACAACATCATTGTTCCATTGAAATGACATTAAAGGTATCTATCTTCTACTTCACCTGAAACAAATGAATAAAAATGGTCAGGCAGAAGAAAGACACAATGTGCAATTCCAACATTTCTTCAAGTATCTCTTTGTTTTCTGTGGAGGCAGGGTGAATTAAAATCACAACCACCATAGAATTCCAGGTTAAAGGAGACATTTAATTTTTAGACGTATATACAATTTATGCCTTTAGGAGGAAGGTGCTGGTCTCTGAAGTTTTGGGGTTGGGGTGAAGAATGAGGTATCTGATTACCTTATTACTGCCGTAGAACCTCTTGGTTATGCATAAAATGCCTACATGGAACTTGGCTGTTCTTCACTTTCCTCCTGAGGTGGGCCTTGCTGGTTTCCAGGTCTAGGAGGGCGATTCTGCTGTGGGCCTCCGAGCTGGGGTGGGCCTTGCTGATTTCCAGGTCTAGGAGGGCGATTCTGCTGAGGGCCTCCCTGCTGGGGTGGGCCTTGCTGGTTTCCAGGTCTAGGAGGGCGATTCTGCTGAGGGCCTCCCTGCTGGGGTGGGCCTTGCTGGTTTCCAGGTCTAGGAGGGCGATTCTGCTGTGGGCCTCCCTGCTGGGGTGGGCCTTGCTGGTTTCCAGGTCTAGGAGGGCGATTCTGCTGTGGGCCTCCCTGTTGGGGTGGGCCTTGCTGGTTTCCAGGTCTAGGGGGTTGATTCTGCTGAGGGCCTCCCTGCTGGGGTGGGCCTTGCTGGTTTCCAGGTCTAGAAGGACGATTCTGCTGAGGGCCTCCCTGCTGGGGTGGGCCTTGCTGGTTTCCAGGTCTAGGAGGGCGATTCTGCTGTGGGCCTCCCTGTTGGGGTGGGCCTTGCTGGTTTCCAGGTCTAGGGGGTTGATTCTGCTGAGGGCCTCCCTGCTGGGGTGGGCCTTGCTGGTTTCCAGGTCTAGGAGGGTGATTCTGCTGTGGGCCTCCGTGCTGATTTCCAGGTCTTGGAGGTTGAGGTTTGTGGTGGTTGTCTCCTTGCTGTGGTGGTCTCTCTGGTATATCTCCATCTTCTTCACCGTCATCATCATCCTCATCTTCATCAGATGCAGAAAGTTGTGGAGGTAATTCTCCAGGTGGGGGTCTCTGATGAGGTTGACCAGGGCCTTGGCTTTGCTGCTCTTCCTCTGTAGTGGTATAGATCAATGGAAGAGAAAAATCAAATTTTCTCTTTGTCCCTGATTCCTCTTGAGCTTAATTTTTACATTCAGTATATGATCTTTCTTGGGTCTCAAATCTTTGAACAAATATTTTTCTTAAATTTGGTACTTAAAATATGATATTGTGTTTCTTACTTTTTTCAGACAGAAGTGAAGGAAATGAATTTATTTATAAATGTTACTGTTTAAAAATTGGTAGAATAAAAAAATGCGACATCGATGCTATTTTCTTAAATATATCATGGTTTTCCAGTTCCTATAATCATGTGGAGATCAGGAAAGAAATGTAGGAAAGAGATGAAAGGACGTTCCATTCAATTTTTATGTAATGTCTTTTTATTATTATTCAGCTGTTTCTACAGAGCTGAGAGAAAAAATAAATTTAAAAAACTGTGAGAGTATGAGATCCGCGTAATGCATTATCTAGTTAGTGCATAAGCATATAATTTTACTTGAAATCACTGGTGAAAGAGTGCCAGGGAGGAATTTAAATGGGGACACTCAATATACTCATCATATGTAAGACATTGCATCAATCTGTGGAAGAGACAAAATCTTCCTCTTATAAAACCTGGCTTTCTCCTCTTGAATGTATAGTACTGCTTTGGGTCCTAGAGGCAATGCTGGGAAATTTTCCTACAAATCTCAGGGAAGCTGTCACACATTGATTTCATAAAATAACAAAACAATACAGAGACTTTACAGAACTGAATACTTAGGAAGTAAAGTTTGCATAGAAGGTCCATGGAGGATGAATCTGGCTTTACCTAAGGCCTGTGAAAAAGAATCTTCATAGATGATCTCTAGAAAATAAGCACAAAATAAGTTTACAGTTAATTATGACATTTTCAGGCTTCCCAGTAAAGAGGACTTTCAACTATAGCTTCACATCCACTAAGTAGAATTTTATTCTTGGGTAATAGTGTTAATAATTCTGCCAGAACAGTTTCTGTGATCAGAAGCAGCCACTATTTGGTTCCTTATTTGCTGTGTCAATCCTTACTCAGTCTTCATTTACATTCTGGGAATTTCAATATGATAGGTTTACACTATTTATGCTTTACTTTATGAAGTTCACTTCTTATATGATGTATTCACAGGCATGTTATGCACTGAAATGAGAATAAACATTTAAACACTATGTATAGAACAATGAACATTATCTGTGGGGCATTAAAAAGAGAATTGGTGCAGCAATGTATTTCAGTGAGTAAAAGCACTTGCCTGATGACTTGAACCAGTTCCTTGACTACCAATAGTTGTCCTGTGACTGAACTGTGAATAAGTATACCCTCTCCCCCTCTCTCCCCCTCTCTCTGTATGTGTGTTTTTCTCTCAGACACATACACCAATACGCAGATAGTTGTACATGTACACATGCACTAAACTAATTTTAAAGAAATTATTCCTTAATATTTTAAGTTCGTTTTGTTCAGAGTTTCAAATTTATTATTTTTTCCTTTTCTCAAAAACATATCTGATATAAACTTACTTCGTTCGTTTTTCTTTATCCTCTGTGCACCTCATTTGGCATCATTCACCTCTGCTTTTCATAATACTTTAAGAACTGTGTCTTGCTCTGTCAACTCTAACACACTGCCCTCCATCAAACAACAGGTATTTTCAAAATTGCATCTATGTTATTTTGTTGCAAGACTATATTCTTAAATCACACTGTAAGTAAAGTCTAAGATTTACAGACAAAATGATAATATAAATATTCTAATATTTGTTCTCCTGATTCTTTGCTTCATTTTCTTGTTCATCGTTTTCTATTCCTCCCATTCCCGAACTTCAGTCCAAGTCCCATGTCACTCTACCCCCCTTTCTCCTACATTATACCTTCATTTGAGCTCTGGACTGAGCTCAGGGCCAACAAGGCCGCTGTGAGTAGGACCACCAGCATCTTGGAGGAGACTCTGGAGTTGCTCCCAAGTCTGTGCTGGGGGAAACAAGTCCACAGTCTTTATAAGGAAGGCAGAACAAAGGCAACTTTCAAGTCATTAGTGGTGACCTGACCTGACACAGAAGGATACTTTGCATCCCTGACTTTTCTTTGGGACTCTTGCCTAGTAGGATCCAGTGGGGAGGAGCTTACTCAGATCTGAATGGTACAACATGTAATTTCAAAAACGATGTTGAAGTGATACAAAGTTCAGATATTAGGTATATAGTTCTATCATTGCTTATGTCTATCGCTGTTTAAGTCACTGTTATTGACATAACTCTGACTCTGACCTATTAGGTGTGATTGTGGGGTGATTTGCTTCTATATAAATGTATACTTTTGTCCATATTCTTTCTGTTATTGAGGCTAAAGTTGGATATTGTCTCTACTATTAATTGCAAAACTTCATTCATTGTGTTATATACATATAACACAATGTTAGTTTATTGTTTTTTTGATTTTTGTTTTTTGTTTTTGTTTTGTTCTGCAGGGAGTTAGGACACCAAGAGGGATGCATAAAACATGAGACAAAAAGTGACAACCTATTTCTGCCTAGACAGGCTGTCCAGATTTCTAAAGCTTTGATTTATATTAGAGAAATTATGATAACATAGAAACAGAAGTTGTAATATTCTGTTCTTTTTTCATGTCCATTGGTGTTAAATGAAGAGGAATGGCAGTAGAGATCCCATGTAAATGTAAGACCAGGTAATCCATGTGGGCCCAGTTTTACACGATTCATGAATGCTATTTTTCTCACAACACATCTGTATTCCAACTTTTTATTTATTTTTTATTGAGTTAGATTATGTTTTGGCATTTTGGTATTGTTTTCTACAGGAATTATTCTTCTTTATTTAAATTAGAAACAATCTTATTTTATATATCAATCCCAGTTCTCTCTCCCTCCCATTTTCCCTTGCCCCCCATCTACCTCCATCCCATTCCTCTTCTGCTCCATAGAAAATGTGAGGCCTTCCATGGAAGACCATCAATGTCTGTCACATCATTTGTGGCAGGGCCTAAGCTATCCCCTATGTGTCTAGGCTGGGAGAGTATCCCTTTATAGGGAATGGGTTCCCAATATCCATTTGTACACTTACGTATAAATGCTGTTCCATTACCTGGGGGCCCATAGATTTCCCTGGCCTCCTAACTGACACCCACATGCAGGGGGCCTGGTTTTGACCTATGCTGGAAAGGTTCAGAGATATACTAGGATGACCCCAACTAAGAATCTAAGCAATAGGGGAAAGGCTATCTTAAATGACCTACCTTATAATGAGATTGATGACTACCTTATATGCCATTATAGAGCCTTCATCCAGTAGCTGATGGAAACAGGAGCAGAGACCTACAGCTAAGCACTGAGCCAAATTCCTGGTATCCATTTGTAAAGAGAAAGGATTGATGAGCAAAGGGGTCAAGAACATCCTGGGGAAACCCACAGAAAAATCTGACCTGAACAAGGAGGAGCTCATGGACCAGACTGACAGCTTAGAAACCAGCATAGGACAGGAATCATTCTTTTTTTATTAATAAGTTTTATTTGAATTAGAAACAATCTTATTTTTTATATCAATTCCAGTTCCCTCTCCTTTCCATCCTCCCATGCCTCATCCACTCCCCAGGGAGGGTGAGGCCTTCCATGAGGGATCATCAAAATCTGTCAAGTTATTTGGGTCAGGGCCTGGGCCCTCTCTGGCCTAAGAAGTCTATGGATACATCATTGTTCTACTGCCGAGGCCTCAAAGGCTTCCCAGTGCTCCTAGTTGACACCCATGTTCAGGAGGCCTGGTTTGGTCCTATGTTGGTTCCCCAGGTGTCATTTTAGTGTCCATGAGTTTCCACTTACTTAGTCAGCTGTTTCTGTGGGTCACTCCAGTGTAGTCTGGACCCCTTAGTTTATCACTTCTCCCTCTCTAAAATCGGATTCCAGGAGTTTGGCTCAGTGCTTAGCTGTGGATCTCTGCTTCTACTTTCATCAGCTACTGGGTGAAGGCTCTAAGATGGCATTTAAGGTAGTTAACATTCTCATTATAGGGAAAGGGCATTTAAGGTAGCCTCTTCAACTATTTCTCAGATTGTTAGTTGGGTCATCCTTGTGGATCTCTGTATAATTTCCTAGTTCCATATTCATTTTTAAACCTATACTAGCTACTTCTATTGATGTGTCTCTTTTCTTGCTCTCCTCTATTCATCTCCCCATTCAATCTTCCTGATCCCTCGTGCTCTCCTCTCCCTCCCCTTCTCCCCTCCTCTTTCTCCTCCCTCCCTCCTCCCTCATGCTTCCAATTTGTTGAGGGACTCTTGTCCCTTTCCGCTTCTCCTGGGGACCATGTGTGTCTCTCTTATGGTCCTCCTTGTTTCCTAGATTCTCTGGGAGTGTGGATTGTAGCCTGATAAACCTTTGTTCTATGTCTAATATCCATATATGAATTATTTTTAATCAGTGACATTGATTCTTGATCGACTAGAAACATGAACAAAGTATTCTGACATCACCTTCAAAGTCTCCATGGGATTGCTTTCTTTGACTGATCTTCATCATGGTGAATGCTATTTTCCATGTTCTGATATGCAGTGCTCCAATATTTCCCATTCGGATCTGTTGATGATTTTAAGATCAATACAACCCACTGATGTACTTACTTATCAGCACCATCTATCTGCCTTTTACATTTCCAATGAATCCCTTGACTTATCTTTCCAAGTAATGTTTACTTTGTCCTTTATCTTGTTTGTGATTTGGCCTCATTGCCTCACTAACTATTCTTCTACCCATGTCCTTCGTATTAGGAGGCCAGATGCAAACCACCAAAGACAGCTTCGTTAGTCCTCATGAGCACTATTCAATGTTTTCTCAAAAATCGATTAGTAGACAACCAGATGTGGCATTACTAATTTTAAAGCCAGCACTTAGTGTCAGAAGCAAGTGCATCTCTGTGTGTTCCCAGCCAACCAGCTCTACAAATTGAGTTACAGGACAGTTAGTACTGTTACACAAGGAAACCCTGTGTTGAAAATCAAAGGAACAAGCAAATGGTTAGAAGATACTGTGTTTAATTGGTTATTTGATGGATACTAGTTTTCTTTATTCTATGATACTTTTGCCTTTTCTGTTTTGTTGGAGTCACTTGACTGTTGGAGGTGTACAACAGTAAATGTAAATGGCTGCCTTTTCATGTCTGAGACTATGTTGGGCTTTCATTATTTCCTAGTTTTTGGTTGGGTCTGGTAGAAATTGGAAAAGAATTTGGATGAGGTAAAGTAGGGAGGGCCATGTGACTGGAAATTTAGATGATCTTTCATCCAGCATGGAACACTTTCCTGTGCTGTGCATATCAATGTACCTAATATTTCATTTTGAATAGTATAGAGACTATCTCAGAAAAGTCACCAAAGAATATCCTTTGTACAGATGCTGTGAAATTCTAGTGTCATAAGGTATGATTCCCCCCCCCACGATGGTAATAGATGTATTCTGAACAGATAATATGTTAGCATTTGGTAATTTTATCTGGTGATATTAAAACCAGAAACATTCTCACAAGACTTATGAAGTAAAATGAAATGAGGGGACCTTTGACTGTTCAGAATATGGTCCAATCTGTAGTGTTATATTATTTATGATTTATTGAAACTTTCCTGAAGATTCAGAAAATGAAAGTCAGCCTCATGCTATAGAGATCATGCAGTGGTCACTCACACCTTTAATCCCAGCAGCCAGAAGTTAGAAGTGGTGGTACATACTTTTAACCCTAGGACTCATGATTAAGAGATAGACGAATCTCTCTGACTTCAAGGCTACACAAAGTTACACGAGACTGAATCAGTCTAAAAGAGATCATATACCTTTAATCCCAGAACTAGAGGGCTATAAAAGATAGAAGCAGGATCTTCATTAGTCAGTAGAGGCATTCATTTTCTAGCCACATAGAAGAGAGGATACAGTTTGAGACTTGTTGAGAGCTATTGGGGACAGGATCAGCTTATTCAGCCTGAGGTAGAGGTAGGAAGTTAGTGGCCAAGTGCCTTGTTTTTTTTTTTTTTTTTTTCCTGATATTCAGCTTGAAATTTTAAACCCAATGTCAGTCTCTGGGTCTTTTACTAAGTCGTGTTATACCAATCTATATTAAAAAAGTTGGTTTTCTATTATGTGCAGTTACAACATCAGAAGGATCTGGAGATGAAGGGTCCTGACCATGTATGTCTTTGGTAGACTTTGTCCTGGGAAAGTCAGAGAAGGAGGGGAAGAGAAAGCTAGGCATATGTGTTCATGTGTGGACAGCTAAGGAATTTGCTATTCTGGCTGGTCTCAGCCTTGTCTTTAGCTAGGTGGATCCTAGAGAAGTTGATTTTACCAAATACCATGCAACTTGAGCCCTTTTCTTGACATTTTCAGATTTAGCAATGTGTGAATGAGATTATTGTTTTATGCAAGAAATATGTCACTTCGGATCTGACCAGATATTATGCAAACAGTTTGTGGGGCTGCCAGGAGGGAACAGTCAGTTAATAGTAGTTAAGGTTGATTAAATAATAATTATTGTGCGACAAGCTCTTCAGAACCTTTAGTGGTTGAAACAGTTGAAGATTGACTTTTACATATGATTTGATTATATCTGTTCTGGTTGCATTCATGAGTTCAAATTCATGGCATCATAAAGATACTTTTATGTACTGTTAATTACTAAACTCCTTTAAATGGCCAAAATACAGGACCAGCACATATGGAAGTTGAATTTTTAACTTTCTTGAAGCCCCAGTATTGATGTTCATGGGATGAGTTCTGTTTGTCATCTCATTTTCATTCTCAAGGGTTTCCTCTTTGTTCACATTCTCAGTAGTATTTATGGTTCTTTACGTGAATCATAGTGATGGTTCTGACTGATATCAAATGGCATAAACTCACATTCTCAACTGGATTTCTATGAAAATTGAGAACACTGAACATT